AACAGTCATATATAGTAAATCACTTTTTTTTTTCTAAATTCAATCCATATATAGGTTTAGTTGCTTTACCCGTGCCAGGAATCACCTTAGAAACTGGCTGACGTCAGAATATGAAGCACTCCAAAAATCAAAGCAGAAAAACGAGTCATTTTGGCCCAGTTTATATCCACTGTACATTTATGTCGCCGTGAGCACGATTAAGCATAAAATATTCACTCTGGAAGAGTTAATATCTTCAGCCCAAAATGTGAATGCTTGAACCACTTGTCTGATTTAAATGACATTTACAGGCTTCTTTTCGTTGATGTTGAGAACATTTCTGCCAAATCCAGTTAACCTGGGTGAAGTACAAAAAATTTGCAGATGTCCAAAGATGAAAGTGGGCCTGTCTGTGTAGGAAAACTATCGTTTTGAAACTGTTTATAAATTTGTCATTTTAAATTGTTATATTGCTTAAGGACAGTTCAGAGCAGATAACTTTGGAGGTATATTTCTATATTATACAATTTTTCATGGAAAAAGTCGTATAAACACAAACAATGTTTTTTTAAGATTTCCATCCTTTGTCCAAACTTTTAGCACTTGAGCATAAAAAAATTACGAAAATAGAAAAATACAAGCTCCATAGGTATCTCCACATTAAAATTTCACCCCAGAAAAACTTATAAAAATGAATCCAAGTTACGAAAGAACAAAAGATAGTTTTCCGAAAGTTAAATTTATGCCAAAAAGGGGAATGGAGAAAAATGCGTTCAAAATGTTACAACCTCAATTTTTTCTTTAGCATCAATGGACGGAACATATTTTATATACAAAAAAAAAAAACTATGCAAGGTAAACTAATGAGACTTTCTGGGAATTCTCCCTCGATGTTGGTGGAGGTAAATATAACATTTTTTATATTATTGTTTTGTGCAGAAATTGTTTTTTTCTATATAGTGCCCCCCCCCCCCCCCCCCCCCCCTTAAACTGTCACGTCCAGCTCCTCAGCTTATTTGCCCAACTATACTGTCGTCAGGTTGCTAAGAATAAGTCTGTTCAATCACTCATTCACCTCTCGTACATATCGTATAATATAGTGGTTCGAATTCTGCAGGTTTCACGCGTTAAGAGGTTATGATAACGTCTCCGAAACTAAATGAGGTCTCATTTGATATTCATGGCTTGCACGTGACGTGAAACAGCACCGTAGAAGCCGCCATTGGAGCAATGGCAGCTTCTAATGTGCCCGTACCTTATGCAGCAATCATTTGGCAATATTGAATTTGTTCTTTTCGGCAAAGCTTGCCGCGAAGAAGACATTTGATGGTGTCAAATGTATGCTGCAGAAGGTTCGGACAGAGGAGCATGGAACGGAGCAATGTCGGCTGACGTGACGTCAATGCAAGCCATGTATAAAGTTGTTGAATATTTTCAAGGTGTACATATAATATAACCTCTTCCTAAAGATGGTTGGTCAAGGCTTTCCCTCAACTTTAGTAAGGCAACCCCGTTGCAACGCAACAGAACGCCATGCGGCAAACAAATAAAGATTGACCAAATATAATAAAGATATCAAACACCAAACACGAACAACACCTGGCGAACATGACTTGGTACTTGGCATCTATCTCTGCCTCTGATTATTTTTATCTACCGACCTCATGCGGAAGCGCATACGTGCACAGCTTTGAGGAACGCCCTGCTCGGGATTTCAGGACTATTGTCTGGTTTGTCCAGTTAGAACGGTATTTCCACAGTCTAATGATTTGTTGCCTATACACCGTGTTTCTTTTATATTAAGATAATTTAGCTCAACGCAAATGAACGTACAGGTGAGTTTATATTCCTGCAGAAGAAAAAGACAGCCAATCACGGTGCAACAGAAAGATTCCAGCAAATGTGAAGCTTCAAATATGAACAGCTCTAAAACATACACTGTGCGTAGGGACAAAGAACAAGAAAACCTCATGCTTTTTGGTCCCTTTACAAATCACAATTTTTAGACTTAATCGTATTATGAGTTACGTCATTATTTGGGACTTGGTTATTGTTCGACGAGATTGGCTTTATCCTTGTTCTGCGCGTTAGTGAGCTCACGCACGTTGCTTAGACTACAAGTTGAAACGACGCAGTTATTGTTGTTTCCTTGGCACTCATTGCATAATCAGCGACTTTCTCACCCGAAAAGTCGAATTTGCATATACAAGAAGGATGCATAAACACGAAGTCAATTAGTAATCTTTTGACTTGGTTTGAACTTAGACGTGCCATGCAATATATTTTGGCTGAAGTCCACAATGTATGATTGTACTCTTTTTTTTTTTTTTGGCGATACTAGGCGAAAAAAGATCTTCCGCGCGAGTCTGGCAGAGTGCCTGGCCAATTTCATGGGCGAAGGGAAAGCAATTCACGTGCATCGGAAGACCAACAATCGCGTCGCAGACCATAAAATATGAAGAAAGGGGCACCGTAATTTGCTAATACGAGCAGTCGGCTTTTCGCCGACCTAGGCAGTGAACTTAGCCTCGTGACCTTGAGTAAACAAACGTATTTATTACGTGTATACGTTCTACCAAGGCTACGGTGTAGTCAGAGGGAAGGGTAAACAGGATCTTCCGCGTCGCTATGAACTACCTCCGAAACGCGCTCGGAAAACACAGCCCGAGAAAGTCCGGCAAGAAAGGCACGCAAATTTGGCCTCCCCACGGACAAACTGATTCACAAGGAGAAAAAAAAGGCGGAATGGCCGAGTACACCCGACTCGGTAGGAAGGTGAGTCAGATAATCCACCTTCCTCCCCAAATCACCGTCATGTTCCAGCGGTACTCTGACGACGCGGCGTGGCCGTAGAAACATTTTTTGGGCAAAAATCGTGTTCAGACCAAGGAACTGGGAAAACCAATTTGTCATGATTCACGCCGAAATCCAATGCAATGTAAGGACATTGGACTCTCCTAAAGTTTTGTTCTACTGAAGATGACTGAGTAAGAACTCCTTCTCAAAGTCGGCCTTTCGAGCTGACGCTAACCAAAATTTTACTTTTTTTTTTTTTTTTTGCGCAGTGACCGGCACAGATGGCCTGTTCGCGACGTAGGACCCTGGACGCTTTAGAGTCGCATATACTCAGAGGAGCCTGGATGCATACTTACCCTTGAAACACAGAACCAATGATGAATATCTCTTTAATTGATTCGATTACTTAATAAGGTGAACGATATATTGTGCTCAAATGGTCATGCAGTCCCAATGGCAAGTAGACATCCCATATCTTTAGCGACTCGGACCTCGTGTACCTCGAAGCGTAACACAGCTATCCTCCCCAGTGGTGAAACTGATTTCGGCAGAGCATTGAATTGTGCCCTGAGGCTATCACAAGATACTATGTATAAGGGCACTTCTGAGAATGAAGAGCTTAGCGTTAAATTGCAGTCGTTACCGCCAGCATTTAGATTTCGCGTACATGCTACTTTCCAGACGCGGAAGCCTGTAGCCGTTAAAGAAAGAAAAAATTGCTCTTAACGACGCGTCAAGGTTTTGAGCGAGTTGTCTTTCGCTTGTTAAAGATCAAGGCCGGCATCACTTCCTGATCCGCTCTCTGTAAGCATTATTCACCCCCTGACCTTTCCTAAGCTATCATTACTAACCACTTCCTTGTACAATGTATACTAATGGCTGGAACGTCGTAAATCTATTATGCGCTCCATCCCCTCAAAATAAATTTCACACCAGTAGCTGAAAGCAGGTAATGTTAGAATATTATTGGTCCCATTTTTCGGATACGGGTGCCCCATTAGCCTCGACCCACAGATGCTATCCAGAGGGCGAGTAAAGTATTGTTAGTCAAGCAAGACGTACATAGTACAAGCTTTCTGGTTTATTCTTTCAGTGATACATAAAGAAGACTGCCGCAGCGGTTTGGGGCAACCAAATTGTTCAATGGGGCGTGTAGGCTTCTGCGTCTCAAGTACAAACTTGTAGCCTAAAGTGCGCGGGGTGCGCCAATTGGACTTCGGCGACAAAAGCGCGGCGTCATCGTCGCATTAGTCCAATCGGCGCACAAGGTAAACTTGGGCCCCGATTCTGCTCTTGATGAGTCAAGTTCCCGTATACAACAAGAAAATACTTTGCTCGAAATTCTAAGTTACTCACATTTTTTACGTTGGGAAAACAAAAAAAAAGGGAGAGTACTTTTGGAACACGAGGAAAAACAACAACAAATGAAGTGTTTTGTTTTTGGTGTCGACGGAGCGTGAGAGATAACCTTCATTTTTGTCGTTTTACAACGCGTATTTGGTGTACAGCTAATGTTTGTTCCAATTCAAAACTCGTTTTACTAAAAGGGACAAATATATATATATATATATATATATATATATATATATATATATATATATATATATATTTTTTAATATCTAACTAAACAGTGATCTAAGGCGTATTTGGAAAGCTGTCATTTTGAAGAGTAACAAAGTCCTCAAAAGAAGTCGTTGAAAGGCAAACTTGGGGAATTCGCTACTATTTCCACCCAATGTCAAAGCTGCAAAAAAAAAAAAAATGCTTCGTCAGATGTTAAAACCAACTCGCGCGTTCGTGTACCTTAGCTCGCCAAGCAGAAAGATTGGTTTCTGACGAGAATGTCCATGAGGTTTCGATACGCGGAAGCACTTCTCACTGTCAACATACCTGGACGTCAAAAATATCTCGCGCAACAAGCGTCCTTGTCGCCACGCGGTAACGGTTGTTCGCTCAAAACGTTGACGTCGTTTTTTTTTTTTTTTTTTTTTGTATAGCTTTAGTTTGCAATTTGCATAGTGGCGTGTCTGCCTGCGACAACACTGAGCCGACATATTCGAGGGTCTAGACGCGCACTAAGGCGACTCCAGCCTCGGGGTGACTAAAACATGCGTAACACACCGGAACCGTCATTTCGAAAGCTGTGTGGACCGATCTTGTTTGGAAACACAGCTGTATACACACGAGCGTGTCCTACGCAGTCCGCGCTTGTCGTCTGCGGACCGCGTGGGGCGAGGGGGATAGCACGGGCAGAGCAGCAGCGTAGAGGATGGAGAAGCGTGCGGGCGAGGCGTAGCTTGGGAAGGCCTGTCCGCTCAGGCGCATTATCTCATCACGCGAATTTTCTTGCGCCAATCGCGGCGGAGGGAAGCATTCGCGGTCGGAATTCACGGACGATCGATTGCGTATGGGATTTCTTGTCCGATGGCATGGCCGAAGGGATCTTATTCTCGGCGTCACGTTTTGGGTGACCAGTGCATGTGGCTTCCGCGTTGCGGGTAACGAACGACACTGAAGTGGCGACGGTCAAAGGCGACCTCTGGCTTCACCAGAAGCGTAAGTAGGGAAATGTTTACCACCGCTTGCACTTCCTCTTACAACGACAGCATGCGAAAGTTTGCTCAAAAACCTTGTCCTACCTTACCCATATTTGAGGAAATTAGCTTAGGACTTGCTCTCCCGCTGAACACTGGTTGTAAAAAAATCTTCTTCGAACTGCACATAAGGCCAAATTAAGAATTTGTTAAGAGTAGCAATGCGGAGAATTTTGGGTAGTTTGTAGCAGTTGCACATATCCAAAAAAAAAACAAAAAAAAAATATGGAAAACAACGCGGACAGGAATAAAGATTAGATTTGACCCCGGTCGTATGTTTTTCTTTATCGCACTCCGTGCTTTTTGAGTTGTTTATTCCTATAAGTTGTCTTCCATTATTTATCTTTTCAGGTTTGCTTCGTACCGTTTGTCGAGATTAAACCTTAGCTAAAATTATAGTTTAGGCAATGCAATATATATGTTGCTCAACTAAAAGACTATTCTGATCGTTTGGAAATCGAGCAAAGTTCTCTTTTCTTTTTTTGTGCACGCAATACTCGGGTTTCTGTGCGTGTGGTTCGTTTAAAATCATATTATTCATTTATTGTTTTCTGTGTATTTTATTTTAACAAGCTTACGTGTTTCCACAATTCCCATAAAGGTGAGCCACTTTTACTTCGCCACGACTAATCAATAGCAAGCAGGACTCCTTTTTTTGCTGGCTCCTCCCCGGCTAAGTATATACGGGAGGCATCTTTGCTTAATTGAAATATAAACGGGGCTCCTATTAACTCTTTTACCGTTTACAAACACATTAGCCGTCTCTTGCCCCCCGCCCAAGGAACTTCCTGTCGCTCCGTTTAGGCAAACGTTTCGAGCCTGTTGATGTCAACATTTTTTGGACGATGAAGTTCTACAGATATTACCAAGTTGAGCATCTAGCAAGGTGTAGTTCGGCCGTGCTATATAGCAGAAAAGGGGGATTGGTCGTCTTACAGGAGTAGTAAATAGTCTCCCATAAAATCTCTAGCGAAGAGGTCATTTTGTTAATTAACTAGAAAACTCGTCATAAATTATTTCATGAACGCTGCAAAAAGCGGTGCTATAATGGGTGTTCGTCCTCTCCATTGACCGGAATTTCGCGGGGACGTAATTTGCCAACAGCGCCTCCTTCCGGGGTTTTCAATTAACCGGTCTATAATTAGTGTCAGTTTAAATTCAGACGCAGCAGCCGCTACGTGTCAAGGAAACCAATCAATCAGCGTAATAGGCTCAAGTCACTGGGCCTTTTCTGTGTATGATTGGTTCAGCGATGGTAGGACACATACATAAACTTGACGAACGTCATGATTGTACTCATTTGACTCTGTCCGCTTGGTCCCATCAGCTCTTAGCGTCGGCATGCACCTGAACTGTAGGTGAAACAAAGTATTAAATCACTGAGGACTTGGAAAAAAAAACACAACAAAAAAAAAACAAAAAAAAAAACAACGCAATGCGTGGTTTGCAACAGTCTTTCGATTCGGAATAGTTAGCGAATTTGGGAGCAATCTCATTGGCTGCGGAGTGATAGATGCTGAGGATTTGCCAAGCGCCGCGTTTCTTAAGATATCAGTGACTATTGGAAACTCCAGCCCGTCGCTCGCCCTCTCGTGGATGAACGAAGAACCAGAGGAGTGGGGACGACGGAGGAGACGGTGGCAGGGATTGTTGGTCTTGGTGCTGCTGTTAACGCGAGGTTCTGGTAGGCGTGTTCGTGCGTTGTGCAGCCTTAAAAAAGAAAAAAAAAACGAGTGCGATAAAATAGAAATTATTTTTTCCGCTACGCAATATTTAAAATTCACCATTTTCATTTTCTTAACGCACATCAGCATCTCTGTCACCGATGATATCTGCTCCTGCCCAGACCTCTTCGTGTTTGTAGCCAAATGAATTAATTTGAGAACACTGTTCAGGGTCAGCAAGCAGGCGCTCGGGAAATTTCGGAGAATCTATCCCCGTCTCTTCCGCCATATTGAGACTACCACCCCACCATTTATAGGGCGTTGGCGTTGTGAATAGTTCTGGAGAGTCTCCGCAGGTAGCTGTTGGTACAACGTTAAAATATTTTGGTTGAATTACATACTTTTCTTGAATAGAACGGAAGCCCGTCTTTGCAAATTTAGCTGCACGTAAATGATATAAATATATCTTGGTTATTTTAGATATTGGCATTAAAATTTATTTACATTTATAGCACACGTTTCAAAATGTTATAGGGTTAGCAATGTCTAGTACACACTAAAACAACACGTTTTCTAGTGTAACGAATGAAATGTATTTTTGTAATTGTTTGTGAGTTATTATTGTAAGCAATCGTACTTACTAATCGTATTTACTTACATCTAAATTGCTCAGTACGTGTGTTTGAAATCTGCCTAGAACACGACACTAAGATACCATTACATGAAGAATTATATATATAATCTCAAACAATCCTCGAGCTCGTAATATATATTCGAAATTTAATCATTAATGTGATCATTGACACTATGATCGAAAACAAATGCATAAAATAAAAATTATTTTAACTACTGAACAAAATCAAGACCTATGAACAGCACAAATAATCTTCTTTTCTCAAAAACGCCAGGATCCCGATGATTCCCTTTGGCTATATCAACTTTCGTATTTTAATGTAGCATATATCCAGTTATTGCATATATATTGGTATGTTTCTTAAAAGATAACATGGTCAAAACGAAAACTAGGCACTTTACACACTAGTCTACTCGTATTATTATGTTTAAAATCGTTTTAATGTTAAGCCTAACATGTATAAACCTGTATAGGCAGACACAAGAAACGAACACGAAGAGATGAACAAGGACAAGCGCTTGTCCTTGTTCACTCCTTCGTGTTCGTCCTTCGTGTTTACGCGGCCCAGCTCATTTAGCACCATTAACCAACTTGCACAACAGGTCTTGATATCCCGAACTGTATCATGGGAATGGTTACTCATTGTTAGGTTTATACAGCCTAGATTGCACGTGCATATGTTTTAAGACGAAGAAAATAATATTCGAGTTGAGGGTTGGGAGACAACCGGGCTTACGCGATCGTATCCAGCTTAGTTTCGTCACAGCCGAAACCATGACTTCGACACTCGCGGTCAAACATATGTCACAATTGTTGTTATTTGGCCCGAACTCAAACTTTTATTGCGATTCAAGCAGCGAGGTAGACTCGATCAAATAGTTCAACTTGGAATGACCTTCGTCAAAAGTACAACGGCGTTTAGAGCATTAACATTTTATTTGGTACAGCCACGGGTGCGTTAAGCCTTGTCCAGGGAAACAGCTCTATGTTGTAAGAACCTGTTGCGTCCTTTCTGTAGAGCCAACGTGGAGGAAGCCCGCACATATTATGTGAACGGCGGCGCGCTCCGTGTACCCAAGACGACAGTCACCCTAGTGTTCTGTTTATCATTTTGGTTTTATTTATTTTTTAACATCTCATAAATGGCGGTTTTAAATAAGCTTCTGATATTGCATCAAAAGTCGAATTTCTAAATGTTATAGAAACAAGCATTTACATAAAAACGCAAACCAAACGAAATCACTGCTCAAACAAATTGTAAGCAATATGCGGGTGCACTGCGGGCCGGTCTTGGGCAATTGAATATACCCATGACCGAATGCGAAACGGGTGCGCCTTCCAAGGCCGTGATACATTTGTGAGGCGCAGTTTGTTTCCTCGCATCGGAAGAAAAAAACGCGCGAAGAGACAACTAAAAATAAATGAACTGTCAGGATAAAGCATGCTTCAGTCTTCACTGAAACGTATTGGCACAAACGAGCGATTGCCGAAGCTGACGAATATGCGACTCCTGGCGTGCAGTCACGCCAACAGAGAGGGATCGAAATTGCGTGGCGCGTGCTGTATTTATAGCACGGTAGAGGTCGACAGACTGCAGCCCTTCACGACACAGTGGTCTTGAACGCACGGTCACAGAACGCCGCTTTTCTGTCTAAAGCGTGAAACACATGTTAGCAAGAATCGCGTCGCGTCGCGCCGACGCTATGACGTGGCCCAATGCCGGGCCGTCACGTGCGACGGTTGCTATGGCTACGCTGCTTGGCGGCGCGGTTCGTCCCAACTTTTGCTCACATGTGTTTTGGGCAGGGCTAGAGAGAGATACTCCAAAACGTATTCGGGAATGCAAATACTGAGATACATGTATTAAGGCACGCAATACAGATTCTGAAATACTTTGCCTTTTACTGAGACACTCCTGCAAAAAACGGCGAAAAAGTATTCCATAATAGAGATATAGATACTTAGAGAAATGTATTTGTTCTCGAACGGTGCTACGTAGGGAGGGTGTATTTCGTGGCGAAAACAAATGGTGAGTTATGTGCTCCTTTTTTGTGCGATTTTATGCACTACGCCTTACCTAGAACTCTTTGCTTATCATTAATGCCACTAAAAATGGTGTCACGCCCGTTGAAGTACATTGTTCTAGAACTGTAAAGAGTGATTAAAGTAGAAGTTTGGGCTAGTTGGTATTTCATGATTAAAGATTAAAACAGCGCAAGGACACGGACAAGAACAAGAAGGACTCCTGTTCTAAAGAAAAGCAGGGTTGCACCAAAAAACACCACGACCAATTCGTAGACTGTGTGGAGGGAGTAGTGTACTCTATTCCCCTCTCGTGTGGCAGGAGATACGTCGGGCAAACGGGGCGATGCCTCAATGATCGGCTGCGGGAGCACAAGTATAACGTGTTTAGAGTTGTGTCAGGTCACCTTGGCCTGCACTGCCGAGACTGTTGCTGCGCTCCCGTCTTTGACAAATGTGAAGTGATTAGGAAAAATAAAGACAAACTCACTCGGGAAATCATTGAGGCGCGGGTAATTGGAAGATTGGGGCAAAACTGTGTCAGCATTCCGTCACTATCTTTGTCAGATAAGGAACGTTCCTATTTAGACAAACAGTGACAGTGCATAGGGATGGCTAGTGAGCACGTGGTATCCAGGTCAA